GATAATTTCTGTTTGCTGGAAAGTATATGTATTTTAAAAATAATTATGAATACAAAATGATTTCAATAGGTACCATTTTTAGGCATATGATTGTTTGAATGATGAAGGTTATAAGCACTTTAAAGTTAACCACAGCATTAACTTTAAAGATCCAGATACCAATCAGCACACAAACACGATCGAAGGACTATGGCGACATGCGAAATATTCACTGCCCCAATATCATAAAAAAAAACCTTTATAGCTGGATATCTTTCTAAATTCATGTTTTTAAAACAATGTAAGGCTTTAAATATCGATTCATTCTTCGAGTTTTTAAGAATTGCAGGTAGTCTTTACAATCCAATTACGGCCGCATACGTTGATAATGATGATAATGAGGGTAATGACGATAATGAGAATGAATTAAGTGAGAACGATACATATATTTAGATATTATGTTATATAATTAATACCTATTAATAATAATAACCTAATTTTATTATTAAAAGTAATTGTGTGTACAAATATTTGTAAGTCCAAAATTAAATGATTGTGTCATAAGTAACAACAAAACCTAGGCTTAAAAATAAGTAATAGGTACTCATTAATAATTTATTTCATTAATATAATAAGTCGCTCACGAATAAAAAAAAAAAAGGTGGGTAAGTGGATGTCGCTCTGCTGTACTGTAGGTTACAAGTGGGTCACTATATAATGGATGCTATTAAATTTGAATTCTATGATACAATATCATTGTATAAGAAAAACGATTCTGAGCGAAGACGGTATGTCAGTCTAGGTATAAGACATAATAACATATTATATACTTTTCTATGGTATTAAATTATATGGAATTTATGAATACATTTCTTAAAATATGCACAGTCTTATCATGAGCATAATTCTTATTCCTTATACTATGGTAGATTGTATGGATAGGCCATAATATTTACTATTTAGATTTTTCAGTTTCATATATCCCCGAATAATATTTTTAAATTACAACAAAAACAAAGATCGTTAATATTGATTTTAATATGTAATTTCGTCCAATTTGAATTTAAAATGCCTGTAAAAAATAACTGTGTTCATATATTTTTTAGATTTTTTGGTTACAGTATGAACTATTTATGAGAACCTTTGTTTTAAATTTGCAATCTTTAGCTATAAAAACTGAACAATTTATAATTTATTAATTACAATGATTGATAATTTTCGAGATTTTGATAAATTTTGTCAAAATTCGATGTTTCAATGCTTATAAAAAAAATTGTGCCTATGTATTTTTAATATTTTTCAATTGCTACTGTAACAATATATCAGGAACCTTGTATTAAATTTTTACACTTTTTGGCCCAACAGATAAAACTTTATTGATATTTATAGAAAAAAAAACTAAAAAAATTGAAAACTGAAAATGTCCGTAAACAGCTCAAAAAGAGTCGAAATATTTTTAAAATTGTACAGTGTATAGGAATTGCTAATCTGAACATTCAGTGAAATTTTCATATATCTATAGTTATTCGTTTTTGAATTACAACAAAATAAGAAAATCGTTACATGAGAAATCAAGTGAATATCCAATGTTGTAAAAATTTGAATTTCAAACGCTCATAAAAATTTAATTTGACTGTCCGGTAGAGATTTTTTTATTGATAAAGGTAGACAAACTTATGAGTAATCTTGTATTACATTTTCAAATCTTAGATTTAAAAAGAAAAATTTTTACGAATTCTTAACTCAAAATAATTTGCTAATTTTCGTGATTTTTCTATATTTTGTCAATTTTTGAACTTTAAATGCTTGTAAAAAAAAACTGTGACTAACGATTTTTAATATTTTTCATCTGCCTTTGAAACAATATACTAGGAGCTTTCTATTAAATTTTCAAGTTTTTTTAACCAACGAATAAAATTTTATTGATATTTCTAGAAAAAAACTAAAAAAAAAATGAAAAATGAAAATGTCCCTAAATAGTTCAAAAAAAATCAAAATATTTTGAAAATGTTATCGTGTATAGAAAATGCAAATATAAACAACCAGTGAAAATTTCATGTATCTACGGTCATTTGTTTTAAAGTTACACCAAAAACCAAATTCAATTTTCTGAAAAATTGATTTTGCGTAAAAATTCCCGTTTTTCCTTAATTTTTCTTTTGTTTTTCTTGGCGCTTTTAAAAAGTACTTGGAATGTTAAATTTTGACCTCCCAATGCACCAACGATATTCACTTTCCAATCGAACAAGATACTGAAGTCGAAAATCGAAGCATTATTTCGACTACTTATATCGTGTACACAGACACAAAAATAAAAAAATAAAAACACACATCATTGTAAAATCAATGCATTCATCGTTCCACTCAGAATCTAAAATCAAGAAAGACGTGACACGTTGCGTTGCTCTCATGCGTAAAAAAACGCAAAATTGCTTACTTCCAAGGGCAATAACTTCGAATCTAAGTGAGAGCGACAAATTCTGATTGCACCATCGTTCTTAACTCGACGAGTTACATAAGTTCCAAAAAAAAATAAAATCGAAAAATGTACATGGGGTGGTTAAGTGCACTTTAGCCGAATTTTTACCTTGTAAATTTACCGGTAAGGTAAATCACAGGTAAATTTACCAATTATGTTTTACAGGTAAATATTTGTTTACCAAAAAAATTAGCATGTGGCAGTGGCATCTCAAATTAAACGGCTTCACGGGGCCAATATTCATCAGTCATAACATATTAATAAAATGGAATAGTTTATATTATAAAATGTAAAACGTCCATAACCACTGATAGTGTAGTACCTATACCAGTGGCGTCATTTGGGGGGAGGGCAACTGGGGCATTTGCCCCAGTCTAGTATTTACATTAACCTTATGTTGGCACATTTACCACACGCCCCCCCCCCTGTTTACTTCTATAGCAATATGCTATGAGAATCTGCAGAGTGAAAAAAATGTTGAGTCTGAAAAGCAGTGAACAATTGCCCTAGTCTAATAAAAACTGAAATGACGCCACTGACCTATACTACATAACATTAAACATACGAATACACCATAAGAATGTCTAATATTGTCTATTATTATCGAAATTAATATAAATTTGATTTTATCACAGATATAGATAATAAACCACGTTTCAAATATTAGTAATGTTAAACTTTTCAAGGCTTTGGGGCCCCGGCTAAACTTTTCTGATTACACTTTTTTTTACAGAAATTAGTTGTTGAGTTGAAGTTTATAATATGTAATATGTTAACTCCTAAACAGACCATATATGATATATGTTAAACCCCAATTAAGTGCATATTTAACTTTATAAAATGTACCTAGGTGCTTTCAGATCTGCAGTGTGTACTGTGTACTCCCAAACCAGAGTCTCCTCGGTAACTCACCGGGCCAATCCGACCCTGATAATGAGTCGAATTAATGACGAGTTACAACAACAACTGGGTGTCGGATGTCGGTGAATCGATTGGAATATTGTGTAAAACAGGTCGTGTAACCTATATTCGATATTTTATTATTTTCGATGTTAATTTGAATTTTGAAAGCAACATAAAGTGTTGTATCATCTTTATACGGTTTCGGATCCAGGGAGGGGGCAAAGGGGAAATCCCCCCCTAAAATCACCGAGGTTTCCCTTTGTTTTACACTGTGTTTAGCCAATTTTGTAGCCAATGTTTGTACTTTTTGTACTTTCCACCAATGTCCCCACCCCCCCAAAAAAAAAAATTAAGCCCTGGATCCACCGCTGTCCGTATAGGTAGTGATACGCGTTTAAACCTACGACACCTTATCCTCGTATACTATTATATAATTACTCTTTCTAAAATAAATTAGATTAGCGTTGTAAGCTTTTTTGAAGTATAATATTATGATGGTATGAGCTCGTAAATATCCCCTTTGCCCCCCTCTGGATCCGCCGAGCTTCTCGGCTCAGCATTACGACTTTACAAGATCAACATTTTATTTTGTCATGGTACCTATAATATAATCTAAAGGCGGTATGCCGGTATCTCACCACTCTGGTATTTGACGAATATTTGGTATTCGTTATTCGTCACCTTCCCGTCGAATGTCGATTGCCGGTAACTTGCCGATTATTCGAGTATTCGTGGATATTCGTCAAATCACATATATATACAATAATTATTGTATTATTGTATTTATGATATTATATTATTATATTATGTCTATTGTCTATGGCCTATGCTGTATCGTATTATTCGTAATTCGTATATCAATGTACTAATCATATTGTATAACAATATTATCTAAGGACACAGATTTCTATATAGTACTAGATAGCGAACTCCCGCCATGAATTGAAGCTTCAAGGTCGGTTGGCAATTGTATGGTATTTCACATGTCAAATAAGATGATAGGTATTATGATTTATTTTGTATCGTATTTTATTATTTCTTATCATGTTGTTTAAAAAAAAAAAAAATATTTTATATATGTCATTTTGCATTTACTATTTTATTTGACCATTAAAAAAAATATTATTCCTAATCTATTTTGTGCAATAAATGAAATGTTTTGCCAACCGACAAAATAACAGCCTTCCACAGCAGGCTGAGCTTCACTTGTAACAATGCAAATTGTGTAGTAGTTCCTTATCTAGTGTAGTATAGAAGTCTGTGTCTAAGGACCTGGTATTATCACAGGATCTGTGGTATTATCTACATCGTGGTAACAACCATGATAAAAGCGATTATTTATTATCTGTAGACTACTGTGTAGTTTTTACTATTTACTATTTAGCATTGCTTTGTCACAGAACATATCAACAATCAACATAACAATAATTTTAAGTATAAAAAACACAGAATAGAATAACAATAGTCAATAAAATAAATATTTTTTATAATATCTGTACTTACCTATACTGTTGTTACATTCGCTATTAATAAAGTTTTACTATAGCTTAATAATAATTCACATATGATTACTGCACAGTAATTATAGTATATAAATGTTATTCCAAGTATTTTTTTTACTTTTCAAGTTCAAGTAAATATGGACGAACAAAACATTATGGAACTTGTGGAGACTAGTGATGAGGAAAGTCCATCATTATCAAAAATATTGTCTGTTGAAGATATGCTTTTAGGAAAAGGCAGACAAGAAAAATCGTTGGGAAACCTGGCCACCAAGTTTGCTGATCTTCTTAGAAATTCTCCGGATGGAGTAATGCATTTAAACAAGGTAATTTACGTGTTATTTTGTTGTTTATCTAGACTCAGAAATGTAAAAAAAAATATAAAATTATTAGATTATGAAATACCTACATTTTAAAATTTAGTTTTTCTTTAAATTCATATACTAATTAAATAATAACCTACCAATTTGAAGTGTTAAATTAATGTGCTCCTTTTAGGCTACTGCCATGCTTGCTGTTAAACAAAAAAGAAGAATTTATGATATTACAAATGTGCTAGAAGGTATTGGTTTAATAGAAAAAAAGACCAAAAATCAAGTTAGATGGAGGTGAATAAATACTCAAATAGTTCATGTCCATATTTGGGCTTTTTGAATAAAAATTGACTTTTATTTTTACATATTAAAATTATTGTTTATTTATTAGGGGAGTTGAAACAAGTGAAGATGATAAGACTGCTGCAACGAGAACAAAACTTCAAGAAGAAATACAAACTTTAAAGTGGCAAGAAGATATTCTGGATAAGCAGTTAGAGGTGAATTGTTTATATTTAACCTAACCTATGTATTATTATAAAAATTGATAAACTTTAGTCAGATAATATTCATTTGACATAGGGATGCTTCTATATTTTAATTAACCCTTTTAAAATAAAAGTGCATATTGACACAATTTATAGTAATAAGTTATACGTATAGGTATTACTATCATTATAAATCAAATATAGAATTCGTAAATGTTATCTTATTTTTTTTATAGTATAAGTATGTACAAATTTAGGGTTATTTAAAACAATTTCTAATTTGAGGTTCAATAAAAAATGTTAAATATTATTAAGTAATTTTTTTATTTCAATTTTGGATAATATTTAAAATTGTATACTATATAGTATATTATAGTCTGTCCAGCTAAAGAACGCGCCGCGCAACACTCTGTCCTAGGGCAACCGGTTTCGATAGCAAGGTAACGCTGGAGGATGTTCAGAATCGGCGCGTTCTCGTTGGAAATAGTATAGATGTAGCAACTAACTTTCAAATTATTTCACCTCAATGTAATGGGTGGCCAGATAAGATCTATTTTATAAAACATTGTGCTGTGAAATTTTCTTCAAACCTTTTAAACTGTATCAACTATACTTTGTTTTAAATATAAAAATATAAATGTTTTTAATATTTTTGAATTTATTAATATTAATTTCATTATAATTTTTAAATTATTGGACTAGGGAAAGATACAATTATATATATTTATTTAGATAATTAAAGTTTACAACAAATACATTTACAGTAGATCCGGTCCAACCTGAAATATATGTTTTTGTGGGCTTGACAGTGGTTATAGAATTATATTTGTCAATAATTAAAGTTAAATAGTTATTAATTATTTAGGTCATAATGATGACTAAACAAATTTATCAAAGCCATACAAATAACTAAAAATTAAAATTCAAGGATTTATTAGTTCTAAAAAAATAATCAAAGTGCTGTTATGTACTTATGTTTTTACAGTCTATGTAGATCCACCTTCCTCTTGTTTTATTTAATACATGTTTAATTAGGTACTTATTTTATTATCATTATATACATGTACATAATAATATAAATAACTTAACAACAATTATGTATTAATATATAACTATGTCCATTTGAATATTATAAGCTATTTATAAATATATATGTAATATGCATATTCATTTTTGTTTCAGATCCTTAGTCGTGATTTTAAAGTGCTTAAGGAAGAAAAATCTTTTGCTCGTTACATGTATTTACTGAGTAGTGAAATCTCCAATAAACAAGAAAAACGATCAGTTTTTACTGTACAACCTATGGAAGCACTTAGAGGAGCTAGTATTTCCATACCAAGAACCAAATTTAATCGCAACTATAGTATTAAACCTTATGATAACAGTATGCCATTTAGGATACATTTTAATTCTAAAACTGTACCAGTCAACATGAATCTAATTTCGTTCAAAGCATTTGGTCAACTTGAGGTATTTTTAACATAGTTATTCGTTCCATATAAGATTTTCAAAAAAAAATTAAACTTACTGAAATTTAATATGTGTATTAATAATTATTATATGTTTAGAATAAAAGATGTGTTTCGGAAACCATTAGCAAGTTAAGAAAAATACCTCGCACTAATTATTCTGATGATGTAAAAAGTAGTATTATACACAGTAAGTACTATTATTTGAAAAATGTTAATAATTTTTTAACTATCCTTAAGAAAATGTCATCAGAGAATTTGTCATTTCTACCTCCAAACGAGATGATGCAGTTTAAGAGTATTAAATTAAGTTGTGCGGTACACATACCCACACTTCAGCAGAATTTGTAATACAATTAACCGCTAACTGAAAATTAAATGAATTTGAACAACCATTATCATTCATTACTTTACTCAAAATTACAGTTAAACATCATGATTTGTGATCAGCAAATGTTCAACAAAACATCCCACCCACCCGCCTAATATATTGCTAGTGCAATGCACCAAAAATTGTATTTCTGAACCGCTTCTGGATTCAAACTTTAGCAAAATCACTTTTTTCACTATTATTATTAAGGAACTTTTTTTGAATTAGGAAAACATAATCTTCTATTATTAAAATATTTTGCTCTTATCTTATCAGTTACTGAATAATGAACAATGTTGTAATCAGTAATGAATTATGTGACTTTACATTGAAAAAAATTAGATTTAGTTCTGCTTGATAATGTTTAAAATAGGCTATTTTTTATATAATTGAATATTAGCTTACCACTTATACAAAGATGAAAGAATGATACATACTATTAAAATACTATATTAGATTAAAAAAAAAATATATAATATTATTTCTAGATAATGAAGAATCTGATGATATGGAAGAAATTATTGTACTGAATAAAGAAGGCAAACAAGTGGAAAAAAATTTAAGTAAGTAATCCCATAAAATGTTATAATTATATATTTGCATTTTTCTCTTTTTTGTGTGCATATTTTAGTTATTTTAGCTCTTATAATATTTATAACAATTCATTCTTAACAATTTAAATACTATTTTATTCTTTATTATTTATTTAATAAGTTGTAATAAATGCCTGTATAATATACAGATAATATTATGATCTATAACTTACTATATATTTATTAAAAATAGTATGGTTAATCAACAAGGCCGCCCACAGAAATATTTTTTGGAGGGGGGTCAACAAAATATATATCATCTTTACCATAGATAATAACATATATAATATGTACCTATATCATCTAAAGTGGTGAGCACTGATCCATCAGAATCCATTAAAATCATTAACTATACAGTATTTATTTTATAATATAGCAATTACTCATGAATATATAAGTTTTTAATTTTAAGCTGGATGTAAAGAATGCCAGTGTGAGAAATATTTTATTTATTGTGCATAAACTTGAATATAGATTGAAATTATTTTTAGTCAAAAAAAAATAGGTATTTTTTATACAATAATTTTTACACCTAAAATACTTATTTTTCATTTTGTAGATTGTGATACATTAGACGATAATGGAACTAAATCTTATGCTAGTGGTATGGTATCAAATAATAATTTAATACTATATTTTTATTTACAGTTATAATAATTTATTTATACGCATTATTTAAATGTATTTTAGTTTGTCCACGTTATGATCCAATCTTCAGGTTGAGCCCACCTCCGCCAGTGAATACTTTTCCATGTTTAATTGACCCGTCTGAAGGTGCATTTGAAGCTTTTGATATTAAGCCCAAATATTAAAAGTTAATTCCTATTCAACAAATGTTTACAAAATATTGATTACATCACTCGAATGTTTTAATTAATTTACCATGTTAATAAATTACCAAGATATTGTATTTTTATTTATTGCGTTTTTCTTTATGTCTAATATGAAAAGTGAATTATAATTACATTTCAAGTTTTTGATTGGTATATAATTCATAAAAAAATAATTAAAATAATCTAACTAAAGGAACCTACTATTGTTCTATGCTACTACTTTTTTTTAGGATAAATGTGTGGCTTCTGCCTACTGGCTATTATAATGTATTGCTTATAACAGTGGTTCCCAACCTGGGGTACACTAGATGACCTCAAGGGAGTAAGGGACACTCGAAAAAAAAAATAGATAATGGTGGGAAAATGTTGAAAATGTTGTCATGTAAGGGCACCATATACTATAAAAATATCTAAGGAAACTGAGGGCCAAGAACCGAGGTGCGATGTTTCAAAGTCCCGGCCGCCCGTGTATAGTAGTGCAATTTAAATTAATATATGTTATACCTCGTGTAATAAATACACTAATAATTTATATCTAAATCAACAAAATCCCGTTGGTTTGATTTTGGTGAACTATATTCAGAGCCATCCTTCGATGAACCTTCAGTTCCATGAACTTATCGTCCAGTATTACGACAAATACATACACAAAATACTTTTGTGCATAATGTCAATTACAATTACAATAACAATCAGAGGGATTTAACAAATAGTCATACTCTTAAAGTTCAATTACCCTATAAACTAGTTACCATTCTAGTACCAACACCTATTTCTGTTGAATCATTTTCAGCATCTAGTTCACCATAAGATTTTGAAGAGACTATCAGTTACTCTGGCAGATGAGGTAAAAGGATCCATCAAATTGTCGCACGCTTAAGGTTTTGAATAAAGAAATTATATATTAAAACAAATATGAGAGTTGAATGTATATTTGTAGCTATTATATAGGTTCTCAAAATCTACTTGACTGATTTTGTGAAAACTTCAAATTGTTCTTGGAGATATCAGGAAAGTTTAAAGAGTAGTTTGAATCACTTTCCAATCCACCACAAATTAATGGTCCACCTTCGTCGATTTTATCGACTTTGTCGAATTTATCTGTGAACTGAGGCACCTAGGTAGGTACACCAAAACGTCCAAAACCAAGAAACACTTATATAATCTGAATTTTGTATTTATTAAATTTTTGGCGGGCAAAACTGGGTTAAAGGTGCAACTAAAATTGGTTAAAAAGCCAGTTAAGTTAAAAGCCTCAATAAATGACCGTGTTCAATAAAAGTTATTTCAATAGATTATTACTTGAAACTTGGGGCCTTGGGGGTGTGTAAAATGTATATAGCTTGATTTTTCAACTCATATAGGCTGTAGCCTGTAGATGGGCAAACATGTAATTTTTTTAGCATACGAAAAAATTAATTTTTTTTGTCAGTCTAAATGGTTGCAATTCATTACTACAATGTTTCATATCATATTAATATTACAATTAGATGAAATATGGTATATACATTTTGTACAAATATATTTATTAAAAATAGTTTAAAATACAAATCTTTGGCCTGGACAACGTCGGGTGAGACAGCAACTATAATATAATACAAATAATATAATAATATGTTATATTACTTGTATCATTTGTTTGAATATAATAACACTAAATAATAAAGTCATTACTCATTTAAGTTGAGAGAAACCTGTGTAAAATATTAGGTAGGTATATTATGTCATAACTAATAATAAATTATTAACTATTACCTGCATGTGAGAAAATAATACTGTTTAGAGTTACAATAAGGCAGAGATTCCCAACCAGGGTGCCGCGAAATTATTTGAAATATTTTTTTAGAAAAAACAATTTCATTAAAAATAAATACAATGTAATAATTTGTTTATAAAATGTAATATGTATATACTATGCACCTAAAACCTTTCTACTTTTGATTATACTTATGCACTAATAAATAGAACCAAAGTACTCTATAGTATAGACTATAGACTATAGATCAAGGGTGCCGCAAGTCAAAAAAGGTTGGGAACCTCTGCAATAAGGTATGAGTATTGAGTGGTATGACTGTATTTCATTCTTGCTAGCAGGTAAGGGTCTAGACATTTTAACATGGGCCCCTTATTATCAAGCTGTGCCACTGCATGGCTTGCTCAGAGTCAGACCCTAAAATAGAAAATTAAAAACCTTTAAAATAGCCAATTTAAAATTATACAATATATAATATGGAAGATGCTCATGAAAAGATTTTCCCTCATTTTTTGTCGTTTTTCCTAATATTATTAAGAAAAGAACTTTTAATTTTCAGCAATTTCTCCAACTTGATAGGAAATCATCCCCAATATTGAAGATCAAATCATTTTTTCTACTAAAAACGCAATACATACCTGCAGTACCACAGCACATACACAAAAAACTATAATTGTAAAATCGCAATACGCATTGGACGTTCCTTTCGGAATCTAAAAACCTTACCTATAAAAGTATAAAACGAGTAGGTATATACGACAAATACGCAATTTACTCTAATTTTACTTGCGAGATAAGATAAAAAATAATATAAGGTAGGAACCTAATGAAAATTATTGCAAAAGCTAAAGGTCGCTCCACACTATGCATGTTTCGCGTTTCGCGTTTCATGTTTTCACGTTTTCGTAGAATTTCGTGAATAGTGTGTATAGCTTTTTCACGAAATTTTTTTTCGTGAAAACGGTTTCGTAGTGTTTCGCGAACGAGGCGGTAAAATTGACGAAATCAAAGGACACGAAAATATTTTTCGTACTGTTTCGTGTCGTTTCGTTGTATTTTGTTGTTTTTCGTGTAGTTTCGCGTTTCTCATGTAAACAGGAAGTTCATAATTATTATCACTACGAAACGTGAATCACGAAACGCGAAACGCGAAACATGCATAGTGTGTATACCTTTCTACGAAACACTACGAAACACTATGAAACGCGAAACGCAAAACGCGAAACATGCATAGTGTGGAGCGACCTTACACATTACAATATTGTTTTGTTTATTTAGATTTTGTTATTTAATAAGCATTAGTGTTTATATTTACTCTTCTCTGTGTACAAAAATACTACATATTGTAATTTATAGCCGTTTGCCCGTTTAATGATATAAGGATACTGGATAACTATACTTGATTAAAAATATCGCTAAAATGGTGATTATTTGTGATTTGGGCAACAAAGCTTTTATATCACACTATTGTGACAATAGTATGGAGTATGGCCTCCGGCGGGAGAATGCATTAGATATTAGAACCCTATCACAGATATAAACTACTGTAAATTATAATTTATATTATATATTTGTGATGTCTATACATTTGTGGACTAATTTGTTTGGTTAAATTTAGTATGCGATAAATAACTGAAATAGCTAGAAAACAAGAATACATTGCAGACTACAATCATTTCTGTAAAAGAACACACGATTTATCAATAGACCGTTTATGTGCTGAGTGTAGAAGTTCTATGGATTTATCATATTAAAAAATATATTTTATATCATCTATGGCAATAGCCAATTGTCGACATTCGTCCGCGACGATTAACAATTCTAATAATTTAAGTGAAAAAAAAAATAATAAGCCATCAATATAGACAGATAGTTCGTTAAGCCGTATATATTATAATGTAAGTTTTAACACGAATTCGCACATTTCGTTATGTTCAGGTAATTTTCATAAAATATTTCGATAATTTCAAGTTACAGTTCGGAACGAGATGAAGATAGCTGTTTCTTCGGTGGCGTCACGTACTGGACGTTTGCATTGTTGATGATGCACTCTAGCTAAGTTTCACCGGAAGAGTCGATGTTTCAGCGTAAGTTTGTTTTCATATTATTTTGGGATTTATGTTTTATTTTTAAGCATTTTAATAATTAAAAACATAATATAACGTTATGTTGTAGTAGAAGCTGGAAACTGTAGTATCTAGGTATATTATATAATTAAAAATCCAATTAATGTAAATTTTGAATTTTTTAAATTTTAATGTAACATTTATTATGCCTACACAAAACACTTACCTACCAAAATTGAATTTTTCACAAAATTTGTTGTTTTAACGATAAATGACAATTTTAGTTCCCTATTATGGTGAAAGTACCTATTTAATACAAACATACAATTAATGTTCGAAAATACAATTTCCTATATTATTATTTACTAAATACAAAGAAACTTAAAAATAAAACTATGATCATTGATTACATTCAGAGTACCTATAAATTATATTATGCATGGAACACGAAGGTTTATTTTGACCTACCTACTTATCGTGTACGCATCAAACACAAAAAAGAAATAATAACAAAAAAATTTAAAAATTAAATACACATCATAGTAAAATCAAAATATTCATTGCTCCGCTCAGAATCTAAAATATAAATTATAGGTACCCGATACAATTAAATTAACATAATATTAAATAATAATTAATAATTTTGTGATCAGCAGTATCTATTCGTAGAAAATGTTAGACTTGGAATTTTACAAATCTAGTTGGTATCGTGGTAGGTACTGTAAATTTAATGTTCTTATGTACTGTATATCTTTATGTTAACTCTAAAATCCAGGAATCACATTTTCATTTAATGATTTTTAAAATACAATATTATGCTTTTATAAAAATATGCTTGTACTTTTGATATATATTCACCATATTAATAAATAATTAAATTAAGAAACGAAAATAATAATTAAAATATATCATATTTAATATTATTATAATTGAAATTCAAAATTATAAGCTATTTTGATTTTTGTCATAATATAAAATTTCAACGAACAAATATTGTTCCTTAACACGGAACTCTTTGATATAAAAAGTTGCGTTACCTATATGATATCCGTGGATTCATCTTATTCACGTACCTAGTATAATATCTATCATTTATATTCCATGGCAAATCTCAGTCATTGCAGAAGACACAGTCGTCATTAAAAATTCCAAAATTTCAA